GGAAGTCACTGCAGATGTTATAGAAATGCAGGAGAACTAGACTTGGAGCCTGAAGGTGCGGCTGAGTCACTGCAACTTCACAGTAAAACCTGAATAGATGAGGAGTTGCTTCTTACAGATGAGAAAAGAATGTCGTTTCCTAGATGGAATCTACTCCTGGTGAATGCGCTATGAACATTGCTGGAATGACAACAAAAGAGTTAGAATATTATGTAAACTAAGTTGGGACTAGGTACAGCAGCGGCAGGGATTGAGAGGACGGCTCCAGTTTTGAAAGAAGTTCCTCTGGGTCAAATGCTATCAAACAGCACCATGTGCCACAGAGGATGTAACAGAAAGAAGCGTCAGTGTATGTGGCACACTTCACTGCTGCCTTACTTTGAGAAGTGGCCACAACCACCCCAACCTTCTGCAGCCATCACTCTGATCAGTCAGCCGCCATCAACATGAAGCAAAAACCCTGCACAGCAAAAAGTTTCCAACATGCACAGATAATCAGTAGCAATTCTTAGCACAAAAGTATTTTTCAATTCAAGCATGTACATTGGGGCCAAGGGCAGTGGCTCACCCCGTAATCCTAGTACTCTGGGGAGGCCCAGGCACATGGATCACCTGAGCTCAGGAGTTGGAGACCAGAGTGAGCAAGAGCAAGGCCCCACCTCTACTAAAAATAGAAAAACTAGTCAGGTGTTGTGGCAAGTGCTCCCAGTCCCAGCTACTCTGGAGGCTGAGGCAAGAGGATCCCTTGAGTGTAAGAGTTTGAGGTTCTTGTGAGCTATGACATCATGGCATTTTACCCAGGGTGACATAATGAGATGCTGTCTCAAAATAAAAAAAACATGTATATTTATTTAGACATAATGCTATTGTACGCTAAATAGTGTACCACATAGTATAAACATAACTTTTATAAGCACTGGAGACCCAAAGACTAGTGCACCTCACGTCACTGTCGTATTTGTTTCCTTGGGGCAGTCTGGAGGCAAACCTGTCACATCTCTGAGGTGTGCGGGTGTCACAGTGGGTGATGGCAGCAATAGCATTTGTTTTTCCTTTCTCTGTGTTTGCTCTAGGTGTGAAATGTTTGACAGTTTGACAGTTTGTGACATGGCCCACAGATGTCGCTCCTGTGTGTCATCTAGGTTCATCCAGCAGGTCTGACTTCGCAAAGTACAGACTTAAGTGTATGCATTTCTATGACCTGGCGGTGACCAGGCCGTGACCAGGTGCTGCTGCCTGTACTGAACAGAGCTTTGCCCCAAAGCAGGGGAACTGCCAGGATGTCTGGCACTGAAGCACAGCCACTGGCTTGGACACAGCCAGACAGCAACAGGAGTAAAAATAGAACTGCCAGAGAGAAGAGGGAGACAAGCTCCTCACTAGGAAGCCTCTAAAACAAGAGGGTTTCACTGATCTGAGACTATGGCTGCCCTGAGTGCCGGCAGGAGTCCCTACCCTGGTACCCGGAGGCATCTGAAGTTGTACTCTTAGGGTGGCACTGGAAATTTTTTCTTCATGTACACAATAAAGCAGTGTTTTCCAACCTTTTTAAATCTCACGGCACACTTGAACCTATAGTTAAACTTCCATGGCACATTTAAATTATGTGGACCAAAAAAAAAAAAAAAAAGAGAGAGAAAAAAAGGAATATATTTGTTGTACTTTGAACTTTTTCAAAAATAATTTAATGAATAATCTTTAAAATTTTTTCGCAGCATACCTAAGATCCTCTCACTGCACAACAGCGTGTGAAAATCACTGCAATATTCGGGTAGGTTTGGTGGCTCATGCCTATAACTTTAGCAGTCTGGGAGGCCAAGGCAGGTGAATTTCTTGAGCTCAGAAAGGAATAGCCTGTCTTGAGCAGGTGAATTTCTTGAGCTCAGAAAGGAATATCCTGTCTCTAAAAGGAATAGCCGGGCATTGTGGCAGGCCCCTGTAGGACCAGCTACGTGGAGAATGAGGCAAGAGGATTGCTTAAGCCAACAGATTAAGGTTGCTGTGAGCTATGATGCCACCACACTCTACCAATGGCAACATATTAAGACTGTTTCAAGAAAGAAAAAAAAGAGAAAATCACATCAATAAAGAATGCACGCTCTAAATATAGATGGTTATAAAACTAACTGAGAGTGTACCAGTGAAAATGATTTTAAAAATCAAACAGGGTACACCATAAGAGCATTTGGCACATCGCCTGGGTTCAGGACACAACTACAACAGGGACCTTACCTAACAAATGCAAACATTGTAACCTAATCATTTGTAACCTTGTATTAATCTGAAATTTAAAAAAAAGAAACAGCAAAATATGTTTATTTTATGGAATGTTGAATCATGGTGTTCAAGGACTTTGAAAGTAATTTGATTATTGGTTTTATTTTTAAAATTTAGGAATTCTGTTCAAAGTAATACATATGAACAAGGTTTCAAAACCTAAATAATAATAATAATACTAAAACCCTAACATTAGAATGTTTCTCCTTCACCCCGGTCCACTCCTGACTTCCTCCAACCAGTTCTGGCACCCAAGGTTAAATTTTTTAAAAAATCATTTCTGTTTTTAAAATTTCATTGGTTATTCCTTTAAGCCTTAATGAAATGCTTGTCTTTTGCTTTGTGATTTATGAGTGTTTGACAAAATATGCTGGTTTCTTAATATGAAAGATGAATATAGTTGGCCCTTGGCCAGCACAGGTTTGAGCTGTGTGAGTTGACTTACTTGTGACTTTTCTGCTGCCTGCACCACCCGGAGACAGCAAGCCCAAGACAAAGATGAAGGGCTTTATGGTGATCCACTTCCCCTTAATGACTAGTAAATAAATGTTCTCTTCCTTATGATTTTCCTCCTAACATTTTCTTTCCTCTGCCTTCCTCAATTGTAGGAGAACAGTGTATAATACATCTAACAAACAAAATACGTGTTAATTGACTATGTTATTGGTCAGGCGTCCAGTCAACAGTGGGCTAAGTAGTTAAGTTTAGGGAGAGTCAGAAGTTATACACAAATTTTTTACTTCTGTGGGAGTGTTGGCATCCCTACCCCACAATGGTTGTTCAAGGTCAACTGTAATTACCTCCATCTCCCTTCCCTACTTCCTTCTATGCCTTGCTCCTCCATTTGGGGGGAGTGTTCTAAGGCTCCTGCAGGGGCGCTCTGCAACTTCCCATCACGCTCCTCCTGCCTAGTGTCTGCTACTATACTTTTGTCCTGTGTCTTGACTCCCTTTCACAGGACAGTAAGGGACTCAGGGTAGGGCACCCCCTGCCTCCACTCTTCCTATCCCCCCTCTACCTGCCCCAGGCCTCCTCAGCCTTTACTTTTGCAATTTTGTCTTTGTCTGTTGCAAAAAGGGTGTCCCAAAGGTGAGAGCCTCTCTACCCCCAAGGCTGAGCATGTCACTATTACGTATTACTATACAGCTAAACCCTGGGTCAGGGGACAGTTCCTTCTCTGTGAATCTAAAGCCATGACTTCCTTCTCTGACTACTGGAGCTAGCTAGTCTTAGCATCAAGAGAAAAGAGGATGACTCCATTTTACATTCTATCCAGAGCTGAAAATCCTAACACATTTTAGTTTGCTTTAGAGTTGAAGCTTAATTTTGTTACATACTTTTTTTTTCCCTTTAGCTTTGAATTGGTTCTTTTCCTTTTTGTTAACAGAATAATAATGTGCCTCCGCCATCAGTTCACTTTTACCCTGTTTTTGCTCCCAAGACCTCCTTCCCTGCCCCCTCCATCCCCTCCATCTGGCTCCTTGTCCCTGGGCTTGCTAAGGTGTAGGACCCCCTTCACCATACCCTGGACACAGGAGTCCAAACCTCAAGTCTTTCCCTGTCTTTCCCTTTCTTAGCTTTCTTTCTCATTTTGCTGGAATACATCCTCATGTGACTGTCCAAGAAAGGATGCACAGGAAGTGAGTTTTGTTAAATTTAATTAGTCCTTGGAAGTCTGAAAGTGTCTTTATTCTGCCCCATAATTGATGGATAATTTGGCCCAGTATAGACAACTAGGTTCAGAATTACTTCCCGATTACCTCCCTACATCCATTGCCACTGATGGGAAGTTCGATGTTCTAGGGTTCTCGGTCTTTGCAGTGAACATCTTATTTTCACCCTCTTTGAAATCTGATAACCGTGTTCCACTACACTTTCGTGCAGTTATTTCCAAGGGCAGGTCCTTTTCCTTCCTTGTACCTTCCATGCACCACACTCCAGCCAAAGACAGCAGTCTCTTCCCACAGGAAGGTTTTCTTCTAACATCTTCTTGGCGGTGCCCTCCCTCCACATTCTTTCCTTTTTGGGAAGGACTCGCTGAGGCGGACACATTGCTTCAGCCTTCTGTGTCCCTTATCTCTTCTTTCAGGATTAGCCCTGTGTTTTTCCTCTTTGCTCCTGGAGCCAGAACAAGCTGTTTGACTGAATCTCACTCATCCTCTAAAACCCAGACCACATGTCCTGTCTGCGGAAGCCTTGCCTGGCCTCCCTGTCCCCAGGCACCCCAAGGCTTGGCCCCTTGTCCTGACCCTTAATAGGGTGCTAAAACAGGAAAGGGTGCACAGTACACAACTACTTGGATCTTCTCTAGGAAGGGGCGTGCTGGGGGGCGGGGGAAGAGCTGGGGGGCGCAGCGCGTGGTGGGGCTTTACAGGGCTGTGAAGTGGGTAGGGCTTGAGGTCCCAGGGACAGTCAGGGCGAGAGGCCAGAGTGGGGAGGAGGGGAGGAAGGGAAAGGGGGGTGTTCCTGGGCTTTCCAGAGAATTCTTGGAATTCACGACCAGCTTGCCAGGGAGGAAAGTTTACCGTGAACACCAGGAAGGCTCCGGATTCCCATGTGGGCTGATAAGCCGAAGCGGCACCGATGGCAGCAGAGCCAGAGGCAGAGGCAAGGCGACCCCCGGGCGAGGCGGGGTCCTGCTGACCAGCCGCTCCCTCTGAGCCCGGGGGGCGGGGCTAGCCGTCCAGGTCGGACGTGCTCAGCTTTCCCTCACAGCGCCACCGACCGCTCCGCACAAGGCGACCGTACCGCGCTGCGTCCTGCAGCCACCCCCAGCGGCGGGGGCTTCGGTGCGGGCGCCCCGCGGGCCACCGGACTCTATTTCTGACGCTCCGGATGCCTTTCTGCCCCCTGGTTCGAGAACGCGTTGAACGCCCTTTGATTCTGGCTATCACGTGCACTGTTCTTTGCAGTAGTAATTTTAAGGTGCTTTTACCCCGGCGACCTCATTTAAGAGACGATGACCCAGAGAAAGAGGGAGAGTCACCGTCCTTCTTCCTCACTGGGCAGGACGGAGTGTTGGAGAGTCAAGGGTCACGTAACTGCGGGGCGGGGCGAGCCTGGGGCCACCAGCCGAACGTGCCCCGCCCCTCCCGACGTGGCCCCGCCCCGCCCCGCCCGTGCCCTTGTAACTGGCGTCCCTTGGTTCCTGTGTTAAGTGACCACGGAGCCTCTGGCCTCTTCGCCGGTGAACGCACTGCACCTGCAGGGTGTCCGAGGGACGCCATCTCTTCCTGCCTGTCCCCTCAGGCTGTTGCTGCTCGGCTACCCCCACCCCTAGGGCTCCTTCCTGGGGCAGAGGGTCAGGAGGATCCCCGGAAATATCTTGGGCCCTTGCAGGGACACAGAGCACAGAGACTTGGGTGATGTTTTGGAAATTCAGGGAAGAGTGCTGGTAGTGTTTTAGCAGCGCTGCCTTCCTTACTGTCCCCAGACATGAACCCTCCTGGGGACCCCTACATATTTCCGTCAGTGCCTTCGCAACGCCCCCAACCCACACCCCTCCTAACCTAGATGCTTCCAGAAGGTCCCTGTGCTGCAAACATCGGCCTGTTGCTTAACAGTTCTAGATGTGTGGTCGCGCTGCAGACCCTGCTGCACACCAGGGCAGATGCAAATTCCCTGGGCTTCACCTTTGCAGCAGGTCCCACTCTGCACCACCCACGGCAGTGGCTCTGGGGCAACGACCATCTCCTTCCCAGCGCCAACAGAGGGGTCCTTTTCAAAGGAGAACTCGCAGCTGGCTTCCATCCTCACGCCCAATGGCCTCTAGTTCCCACCTCACCTGGCACCTGCTTTACCTTGCCCCTGCCTTCTCACGAGCCTCCACCCTATGGGAGCTACGTGGCTTCTCCGCACCCTTCTGTACAACACCACCCCCTCCCACCCTACCACCCCACCCCGTGGCGGTAGCCTGGCCTGTGCCCTGCCTGGTCCAGATAGCCAGGCATGCTCCCAGTCCCTCCAGGCTCTGCTCTCGTGCTGCTCATCAGAGGCCTTACCTGAATCTTGCTAAAGCTCACCCACCACACCACTCGCAGCCCCTCCCCGTGTCACCCTGGACCTAGGATGCACTGATCCCCTACAGGTCTTAGTGCCAGGAAAGGGGTGCCAGCTATCGAGCCCAGCACCCTGTGTTCCTTGATGGTACCAGTACTTCACGAGTCCTTCCCCACCTCCAACCCCACCGGGCTCAATCTCCGGAGACTCTGGGGTCACAGCTGAGTGGGCAGCCCTTTCCCAGCCGGGCTTCAGCTGCCTTGGCCTTCAAAGGTGATAATAATGAGCTCCTGCTGAGATGTGTTTGTTACCACCCAGACACCATTTCTTCTAAGTGGTGGACCTATATGGACTCTCTGCCTTCCCACTGCCACCTGCCCATGAGGTGCAAATGGAGGCTCTGTGTGGAACCAGGAGACTAGTATGTACACACACACACACACACACACACACACACACCAATTCAGCAAAAAGGAGCCCTGTGGGCTGGGAGTGGTGGCTCACGCCTGAAATCCTAGCACTCTGGGAGGCTGAGGCAGGTGGATTGCCCTGAACTCAGAGGTTCAAGATCAGCTGAGCCAGAGTGAGACCTCATCTCCACCAAAACCCCAAAACAAACAAAAAGAAAACAGGCATTGTGGCGGGCACCTGTAGTCCCAGCTACTTGGGAGGCTGAGGCAAGAGAGATGCTTAAGCCCAAGAGTTGGAAGTTGCTGTGAGGTATCATGCTGTGGCACTCTACCGAAGGTGACAAAGTGAGACTCCATCTCAATAAAAACATAAAAAAATAAAATAAATAAAAGAAGCCCTGTGTATATGGGCAGCTGGGATAGGGGTAGAAACAAGACTTCTCCAGGTACATTTTTCTATAAATTTAAGATATAATTTGCACATCATATAATGTAGCCATTGAACTTACATACAGTAGAACCTCTGTGAGTTGACCACTCAAGGGGCTGTAACGAACTGCTCAACACGCGGAGGTGGTCAGCATCAGGAACTAGGCCTACTGTACTGATACGTACATGACATACGTGTCAACTCAAGGAGGTGGTCAGCTATGGGGGTTCTACTGTAATTCAGTGGATTTAAGTAGTCACACACATATACAACCATTGCCACAGTCAGTTGTAGAATATTACCTCAAAAATAGACCCCGTACCCTTTAGCTCTCACCCCACTAACTCCACACCTCCCAGCCCTGGGCAAGGGCTAATGTACTTTCCGTCTCTATGGGCTTGCTTCTGAATATGTTAGATACATGGAATTGTACAATATGCGACTCTCTGTGTCCTGCTCTTACCCTCAGCATACCTTTTCGAGGTTCACCCACGCTGTAGCAGGTCTCAGCGCTTCCCTCCCTTTCGGGGCTGAATTACAACCTAGTGTATAGATATTTCACTTTTTAAAATCCATTCATCAATTGATACGTGTTTGGGTCATTTCTGCTTTTTGGCTACTGTGAATAATGCTGCTATAAACCTTTGTGTACAGATTTTTGTGCAGACATATGTTTTTATTTCTTTTGGGTGTGTACCTAGGAGTAGAAATACTGGGTCATGTGGTAACATTCCGTTTAGCTGTGAAACTGCCAGGCTGCCTCCCTCTGCACCGTGTTGAACTCCCACTGGCCCTCTCTCAGAGAGCCTACTTCCCTCCGCGTCCCCAGCACCTGTTACTGTTGGACTTTTTGATAATAGCCATCCCATCAGATGAGGTGTCTTATGGTTTTGATTTATGTTCCCCTGATGGCTAAAGAGGACATATTTTATCTATAGTTTTGACATGTAATTTAATAATATAACATCAAAATTAATTCGATAAAATTACACAAAAGTGGAGGCACCAGGGAGTCCCCAAGGTATAAAAATTGAGTCCCCCACGTCGTCATGCTGCTGCTTGGGGGTGGAGTGAAGGTCCCTGCCCAGGAAGTCTCCCTCAGAGTCCCAGTTCTGAGCCTTGACCCTCTGCCTCCTGGACATTGACCAGCTTTTTCTGGCTACTGTCTCCTCAGGGGCCTTGATACAAGTGTCCCAGGGCAGGGCCCACCATCCTCTGACTTGGTTAAACCAGCTGTTCCAGGCCTCCTCCTTCTGTTGCCAGCCAATTTCTCCAGCCTAGGAGGAAGACATCTGCGCTTTGTCACTGCAGGCTGTGTCTAGGACAGCGAGACTGGGCGCTCCTCATACCTTCTCTGCCTGGGTATTAATGGTCAGGCTGAGAATCCCCTTCCTACAGCTCTCCAGGACCCCTGAGAGACTGATGCCTGAGGACACCTGCTTTTCTGGTCCACACCTCAACATCGGAAGCACTGCAGAGAGGGATGCAGGAATGTCCCTAACACAAGGAAGGTGAGGAGGGAATTTTGCTGAGAGAGCTCACGGCTGGTGAATAGGGCTTGCTCTTGACTCAGCTTTGTACTGGGACAGAGGACGGGATATCCCTCTCCTGTCCCTGCTGGTGGACATTTGGCTGGGAAAGTGTGGTACGGCCTGGGTAGGAAGCAATGATCAGGGCTCAGGGGACTAGCATGACCAAGCAGCTACAGTCAGGTGTCCATGGTGGGGGGAGAGTTAGGTAGGTGCCATTTACACACCTGTTGGCTCTGCTAATAGGACATCCTGGAAGCAAACCCAGAACTGAAGCAAGTAGTAAATAGGACAAGGGGATGCAATTAGGTGTGCAGCCACTAGAGTGGGGATAGGGAACGTGTGTGTTTTAAAGCAAAAGGAATTAGGTAAAACGTGATGGGTATCCAGGGTCTGGCGTGGGAGGACTCAGCCTCTCCTTCCCTGTGGAAGGGATCTACAGAACAACATAAGGAGCTCGGCCTGCTGTGCTGATATGTACAGATGTGGGGTGCACGTCAGATCCATGAAAATTAGGTCAACTTAAGGAGGTGATCAGTGTAGGGAAGTGCCAGCTATGCAGGGTATGCTGTAATTCAGTGGGTTTAAGTATATTCACAGACGTATGCTCAGCCTCCCAGCCCTTAAACACTTTGTCAGCCCAGAACCTACCGCAGCATTTCTTGATACCCTCTCGGTGACAAAATTGTAGAATTATTCATCCAGATACTGATGAGAATCAAAACAATAACTTTACCACGGTTAAATATGTGTATTTATTCTTTTCAGCATTTGTCATGTTGAAGATTATCTGCCCTGTTAGAGTCATGAGACTTTAATGAGACTTTAAAATTATAATCGGATAATTAATTTAGACTTGAGATTTTAACTTGAAATCTAAGTTCTTACCCTGGAAAACATAGAAAACTTGAGTCCTTATATATAGTGTATAAAAAATTATATATGTGTATATAATTTTTTTTTTTTTGCAGTTTTGGGCCGGTCCTGGGTTTGAACCTGCCACCTCCGGCATATGGGCTGGTGCCCTACCCCTTTGAGCTACAGGTACCATGCTTGAGTTACCGCATTTTAATGTATTAGATTTGTAAATAGTACTTAAGTGCTTGGGAAGGGGGTTTGTGTTTTGGTCATTGAGAGTATTGAAGTGCTGTACTTAAAAAGCAAATTAAAAGTTAATTGTACAAATATAGTTTACTATGTTTAAAGAGATTTAATTAACAGAACATGTGGATGGATCAAACATAAGTCAGTGTCTCTCTCTCCCTTTGTGAAGTGATGGTTAAAAGTTGCTAGGCTTTTTCATAAAATACAAGTATAAGTAAGTTGAATTTATAAGTTTGAGGAAGAACTGGGCCTTTACATTCATAACTTCAATGAATTGAATGTTAATTTTAAAACTTTAAAATTAAAAATAAGAAAAAGTCTGAATTTCATGGACAACAACACACCCTTAGAAGATGTCAACACGCTCTCATTGAACTGGGGTAGAGTAAAGGTTGAGGGATTTAGGGAATTCCCTAATCCCCTGACAACAGGGCTGAGCAGGGGCCCTAGGGC